AGTACTCATCGAGCGAGTTGGCAACACTTGGGGGTCCAAAAGGAGACGTCGCTGAGGTAGTGGGGTTGGCCTGGGGGTGGCGACTAAAAAACACTTTAAAGAAAAGAAAAATTGTATTTTTGAACATATTTGTTTCTTTTTTTTTTGCTGGGAAATCTGAAACACTTCAAATATTTGGCGAGAAGAAAGCCAACGGGAAAATGTTTGGACAAGTTGACGCCAAAAGTTGCTGGGCAAAGGGAAAGGGCATGGCTGGGGGTGGCAGTAAATGTAGGAAATGGACATGGGAAATTTTAAACCCACTTGGCAGCTGCCTAAAGGGCAGCACTTAAAAAGGCACTGCCGACCCACGCTCAAAAAAAATAAACCCTCTGCAACTCATGCCCTTTTGCCAGCGTGTTTGCTTTTCCAATATTGACATGAAAATATTTACACAAAAATACAAATCGCGAGCTAGCTCTATATCTATAGCCTCAATTGAGGAAGTTGCTGGAGTGGTTAGAGTGGGTGTAAGCGATGGATGTTCGGGCTTAATTGCTTCACTTTTTTGATACCCTTGAAAAAGGCAAGAAAAAAGGGTAAAGGTTTAAGCATTTCAAGCCAATTAATATTAAAATATTAATATAGATTTCTTCTCCACCTTTATTGCTTAATTCAGATCTAGTTTTTAGATTATTTTCCCAGCCATTTCAATCCAGACATTAAAAGTTAGCAACGAATTTTGTACATCCAAAAGAATCCCTCAAGAAAAATCTACAAAAGTGTATTCCCATCTTCGTCGCTTCCATTTCTTCCCTTTTAAAATATTTTCTTCTGGGTGTGTGTTGTATTTTATGTTGTGCTGTGCGTCTGCTTGTCGTCTACAATTTCCACATGTGGCTTTGGCTTTTTCCTTGAAAGGTTTTTACCGCTTTGGCACAAAGTTTCGATGCAGCGCTGGAGGGCATCCAATAAACGTCAGACGCGTGTCAGGGCGCGTCCTTTGTATATTGACACCTCTATGGCTGATTTGATACGAGAGAGAACTTTTGGAGAACTTCGAGTGTGCCTCGCCTTGGCTTGGGGGCCGCAGGCAGACCGCAAGGGTGCAGGTGTGCCGGTATACAGGATGTACTTTGGACGCCCACCCCACCCCACGGTTGGCATCTTCGATTGGACAAATCGCTAAAGTTACGCCGGAACATCTCAGCGGTTCAAGTGGGCTAAAGGTTACTCAAGTATTTGAAGCCACAACAAAGCGCAGCAAGACAGGAAGAAAGGTGTAAATGGAAATTATATTTTTAGTTACACCTGAATGAAGGTTAAGTATAGAAAGCAGATGAAAAAGTGTTTGAAAGACAGGCAGGAACTTTGTAAATAAATAAATTAAAAAGATTAACAATTATTTAAATATAATGCTATTAAAAACCTTTTATTCGGAACACATTTAAACGCATTCTACAAGAAATAAATTACGCTAAATGCGTTATATTCAATTTACTTCATTTAATTATTTAAACATATAAATATTTTATTTAAACCTAAATTGAATTTTAAAATACAAATATTTAACTTTATTATAAAAATATATTTATTTTAATTGTTGAATAAATTCGCAAATAATATTTGAACACATTTAATCGCAAATTGCAAGCGAAAACTATTTCTATTTTTCCCCCTCGATGAGGCAATGCCCACAGACGCCTATGCCTTACAATTGTAACTAATTTGAATTTAAATGAATAACAACTAATCTTCAACTACTTGGGCCATTATGCCCCCCTGCCCCCGTCTGCTTATTGCCAAATCAATTGAGTTTCTCTTTACTAATTCTCTCTCCCTCTTCAGCGCTTATCATTAAATAGAACTGCAAACACACATGCAGAGAATTAGAGTAAATAGTGCAGAAAGTCTAAATAAATCTCTTCAACTAATAAACTGATAACTTATCCAAATCAAATGTGTCGCTGAACACCAAAAAACCAAATAGTGGGAGAGACTCCTTCTTTTTTTATGCACACGACCCCTGGTCATGTGTCGCCTGCCCGCGCTGAAGNGGGCTGCGAAACTCGAACTGTAAACTTATGTCAGTGGCACGCGTTCACGGCACGTGACCCCCCCCCCCCCAACAAGATCGCTCAAAGGGGGGGGGGGGGGGGGGGGAGTGTGTCGCCTGAGGAGCAGCTGTGGAGCGGGGCGGGGTGAGGTGATGAATGGGTACAGGGTGCAGATGCTTTTAAATTTAAATCGAATCAAATTGATTTGCTCACAGTTCCAGTTCTCAGGGTTTTTCGTCTCATTTTCGACTACGAATTGGCACGCCCACGCAAATGGATACAACGTGGAAGGAGCGTTGGGGTTGGGGTTGAGCGGAGAGAGGCAAAGGTCGCAGGGGGGAGCTCTTTGTTTAGCCATTTGACAAGTGTTTTGACAATATTTATTTCGTGTTTTTTTCTACACTCTGCCGCACTCTCGTTTGCTCTGCCACTACCCTTACCCCTCCTGAAGCTGCCACCCACTGCTCTGCCACCTCCTCCCACTGCCCCTGCCTTTGGGTAATTTGATTTCCCGCCAACAGCCACGGCCACCATCATCTGCATCCTTGACGTTGGACACGTTTCTGCCTAATGGAGTTGCTCGAGTGGCGTGAATTTCAATTCAATTAAATCAAAATGTTGCATTTTTTTTTATTTATATTAAGCCCATTAGCAGTACACACACACACACAACACACACACGCACACCCCTCCCAACACACTCCTTCACGTAGAGTCCCTAGTTGGTTCAATTAAGTTAGATACTAACGCTGCACGCACCAAAGAATTCTGAATCTAAGGTGCATAATGAAGTGCCTGACTTGACTTGGCTTGGAAAACCAGCAAAGCAATAGCAGGTGCCGCAGCAGCACATAGCATGATGAAGGTAGATCTTCCACATCCTTCCTTCCAATAGCAGGTCCAAATACATCCTGTGGTTTCTCGTAAGAGCTTAGAGCAGCGCCATTCAGGTGCTCCTGCAACTGTGTGCATGTTTCCCTTTGTTGATCTGTTGTTATATTTTGAGCCTGTTGGCAATGATCGGGAGGCAGTCAGCTTGAGGGTATCGCCGATCTCCAATGCACTCGTGAAGACACTGCAAAAGCCCGACGATCAGCAACAATCTTGTACACAGACGAGTAAAAGTACAGGGAAATGGTTCAAATCGGGTTTTGCATCTCCAACACCTCGTAGCTAAGTTCCTCTCTGTGTTGCTTTGCATAGTTGCTTAATTCTTGTTTTATATCAATAGTTTTAGCATTATTTTGTTAGTTACAGGAGGAAAGTTCATTTTTTATCAGATGGCAAAATGCTGATGGCACATCAACATCGAGAAATCCCTACTTTTGCCATTATCGATAACAGTATCGATAGCTTATGAGTGCGCGTAATTTAAATTCAAAATTCAAATGCGCCTCATGGCATATATTATGAATAATTACTAGCTACTAAAGTTAGACAGAGAGACTAACAAAGATGTAGCTGCCTTACCATACTATTTGTTTGTACCTTGGTTGCAACTGGTACTGGCTGCATGGGCGTTGATTGGAGAGGGTTAGTGTATGGGAGAGGTGGTGTGTTGTGGGAGCTATAAACTCCGTCGACTCGCCTCGCCATTGTTGCACATGCATTAAGATTAATGCTGCAGTGCTCGCGGGAGTGAGGGTGTGGTGTGGGGAGCTTTTCAGCGCGACTTTGAGTGGCAATAAACAATGCAAAATGAGTGGCAGAGACTCTTGTTGTTGCCACAATTAAGAGGCTCCTCATGAGTACCGTTCACCTGCCCGTTCCACCACACACCCCACTCCGACCATGTCTTCCTTCTAGGGTTGTGTCCATTAGTCAAACAGGTAATTGAAAATTAAAAACCCCGAACAATAAGAATAAGAAGAATATAAAGAACAAGAGGATAAGGCGACATTATGATGAATGAAAATAATATGCGTGAAAAGGTGGCTTTTCCATGAGGAATTCGAGTTCCAGACGACGATGAAGTTAACAGCTGTTAACGAAATGTAGATTGAGCGCCATCTAGCGGGTAAGCAGGCCTAGAACATTTTAGGCACATTTATTTACTCCAGCAGGCAAAAAACATTTCCCTTGGGATTTTTCTTATTTGAAGTCCTAACGGGGTTGAAACTTGGCTAACTGTAGTCCTTTTTCCCTCAATCTGGCAACTCATGGCTCATTTCCAATTAAATCTTATCGCACTGAAATATCGGCATTTCAAAGTGAAAGTAATAAAATTGTTTATATCTAAATGACTAAGTACCTACAATGGCAGACAGGGGCACTACAGTTTTCCTCTTCACTTTCATATTTATTTAATTAGATTGGCAGGAGAGAATTTCCTGAATATGAATATGAAAAAAGAATTATGTATAATAATGTCGAAACCGGATTCTAGCCTCAATTATGTTGTAAAGATAGAAGAACTGCGCCCAAATCACTCCGAGCTTATAATATATACTTATGTTCTCTTATCGCCCAACGCTTGTGCAATTTTCAGGACCACAGTCGAATTTTTTGTCCTCTTTTGTCCCGCGCGCTTTCACTAATTGTCGATGATATCAGTTAACATATGTACATGTGTCTCTGTTAATAATTTGCATACATTTACATACTGAAGACAAGGCTCCCGTGCTTCCAAAGGGTGTGATTTTAAGGAAAATTCAAATAAAAATTTGTAAAATATAAGGAATACAATCCAATAAAACGCAGTATTTATAAAAAGCAAAATTGATTCTTCAATCGGACTAAATTATTGTTTCAGTGGTAAAAGTCTTTTTAAGCTAGTAATATCGAATAGAACATCAAAATCAATGAATCTGATTTCAGACTATACCGTAAAATAGGTATATTTTGAAAATTAAAAAGTATAATTTTGTATATTTTCGAGGGGCTGACGGTATATTTTATCGATACTTTCGCGGTCACACTGAAAACAAAAACAACAACACTTTACGATACGGCGCTGCGTGCCAAAACAAAAACATTAAATATATAAAATGTAACAATTACAAGTGTTATTTGTTTACGCAAACATAAAACATAACGTACAGCCGTGGTCTGCGTGTGGAAGATTCGATTCGTTGCAATAGAGAAGCAGCTGGGACCTCTACTAGAAAGTAATGGAGCGACCGTACAGGAATTGATTAAACAAACGCCTCCACACATCTCCCCTCATACAGAGTGTCGTATCGCGTGGAAAGTGTCGACAGAGAGAGCATAAATAATGCATAAAATGGTTAAATTATTCCTCAGGTAAATGGCCAATGATAAATGCATTCTACAATCGCTACTGTCTGCCGCTCTCCATCTCACTTTTGTTGTTGCTCTCTCTTTGCCTTACGCTACGTTTGTATTTTTATGAATGACGTAAGCGCTCAGGGCTTTTGTTGTTGGGCAACAGCGGAATCTAATTTGTGTGCGTATGTGTGTGAGTAGATTATGGCCATAGTGAATTAATATAAGGTGAATCTATAGGTCTATAGGAATCTATAGATCGCATTGACAATAGACGGTTTTTGGTGTGAGTGAGAGAGAAAGAGCGGCAAAGCTTCACCCCACACATGCAGGCATAAAAGTGGCGTCGTCAGTTTTTGTTGTTGTTTCTCGAAAAACGTGCTCGAGAGTTTAAGAGAGTTCATAAACTGTGCTCTCTCTTTTGGTTTATTCTTTTTTTGGTCAATGACCTAAGCTTTTTAGTCCGTTAGTTGGATTTCTTTCATCTGCTTTTGCATTTCGTTTTTGCCAAAGCAGCAGAAACTTTTGTGTTGGAAAAGTTTACTTAAATACACTTTCGTGTGTGTGTGTGTGTGTGTGGTTGCTTGAAGCGAAGGTTAATTTGGATTTACCGCTAGTTTTGGGTCAGCCTTGGGGTTGGCTTCGTATTCAAAGTGTATTTTAACGCGTGCTGAGTGCCCACACTTCCCTCCCCCTTCTTTTCGCTCTTCAAACTAACGCGAAGCTGCGGCTGCCATTGAGAGCACATGTTATGGGGGGTTTCATGTGGAGAGGTGAGAAAATACAAGTACAAACGTATTTTTTCTTTGCTATACGAGTAGAACGTCCTTGAACTTTTTGTGGTTTTAGAAGTGTGATTGTATATGGATAAATAAAAGATTTTTCATTATAGGCAAAAATTAGTTTGTGTAGGGGAGCATAGACCCTCCGATTTTAATATTACGATAATCCATTCTGATCTTAATCCATTATACCATCCTACCGCTTTTTTTCATAGTCGAACATCTGCCTTGAACGCTCAAAACGGCTTTCGAACATCAATATCTGTCCACAGAATATACTGTAGTTCTGTACATTTCCTAAAAGTATTTTTGTAAGCTTTCATGTATCACTTGATCATCCACTTTACTGTCGTTGTTCTTATTGTTGTGACACTCGGACAATTATTAACTTAATGCACTTAATTATGATGAAGGCGGAAACGGGAACGCAATGAAAGATGTAACACTTTGATAAACTTTTAGCAATAACAAAGGTGAGCAATAGCAAAAACAACCCGCAAAATTAATAAACATCAACACGTCGCTAGGGCGTGGGGTGTGGACCGTGGGCAGCAGGGAAATAACAATGCGCGTGTTTATTAACAAATAAAATAAAAATTGTCGAAAAGCAGCGATTTCGAAGAAGCAGCAACTGCAGCAGCCGTCTGTCTCTTTGTTGACGATACCCTGCAGGAGACAAGGTGTCTTCGACTTGTTGAGGCTGTTTACTAAACAAATGAGCACGCCCAACGAATAGGGTCAAAATTAATTGGTAAATCAAGTATACAAACAATAGCAATTAAAGTTGTATTTGGCCTTGGTGAAAGTTTAAATACAATGTAATAACATTAAATATGGTATTTTAGGTTAGGGTATTGCATGAGTGTCACATCAGGAACTTCGGTTGCTTCCTTCTGTTTTTTTGCGGTTGTTCTCGTATGTACCTGAGCGAAGACCTAGAAGAGAGCAAAACAAGAGACATACGTAGTGTAGAAGCAAGATAGCGAACATTAAGTTGAGTTAAGTGTGGTGTGGGAAAAAAGCTTTGATTTTGCGTTATGCGTTCAATTTGGCGGCAAGCGAGCGAGCGGCCAGTCCCGTTAATTGAGCATCGTAAACAGCGTAAGAGAAGGAGTACGCGTGCCATGGAAAATACACAAAAACCATTGTGGCATAAATCAGCATCTGTGTAAAATCAACAAAGTCATGTCCCAATATATACAGCACAGAAACAAAAACAATTTTTGGCCAGAGAAAAACGGAAATGGAAATGTTTTTGAAAATATACGAGAAGTAAAATGGCAAAGAAATCGGCAATCGGCTCCGCCTGACATATGTACAATAAAGTTGGCTGAGCAAATACAAAACAAAAAAAAACCCATCATTACTGAAGGTCGTTTTTGTTTGCGGTGCGATAAACTTTTTAATTTTATTTTAAAGCCAATATCACACATGCATACATACAAAAACAAAAGCATAGAATGTTGCTGTATGTGTGTGTGCATGTGTAGGCTTTGTTATCGACGCATTTGCTTATCTTTTTGTGCCGCTTTTGTGTGTGTGTGTCTGATGGATACTTGATTGAATGCTTATCATCCAATAAAGAGAGCAATGCCGCTCGCTCTCTCTTGCTCGCAATCTCTCTCGCAAACAATTTGTCAATCAATCAATCAATTGCCACTCAACCAGCTGCGCCCTAGAAGCAATCGCTATACGAGTACGAATATGTGGGTGGGGTGAATTCTAGGTTCACTTTTGGTTCTGGATAGTCATGGAGGCAGGTTGAGCAAGCAGCAATACTGACTAATCGAAAACATCGTTTGTGGCAATTATTTCCATTTAGACAACATGATTCCGTGCTTTAGGTATTTGCTTCAAATCGCAAACGGCCTCTGTCGAGGGGTAATGTTAAGCTTCGGGTGTTATCCGCACATATCCGAGTGTCTCTTTTTGTCATATGCTTGTTTAATGCTATCGGTACACTTATCGTTTGTTGTTCATTGAACTCTACTTATTCCGTCGTTGACCTATGCGCTGCGTTATCCAATATTTAGATTATCAAGAAACGTTACGACTCGCCTTTTCTTTTTATTATACAAAAATATCTTTGAAATAATGAAAATCCTGTTTCCGCTACTGTCTTTTCTTACAAATTCAACCTTAAGGAATTCCAGGAATCCCCGGACATATTTGCATTAATTAAAAATGTTATTACGCCGCTAAGACAGAATATAAATATGTATTAATTTCTATCAAAACGAGCAACGTTATCCAGATAAAACTGTCATCAAGTTACTTTTGTTGTACACGGAATTACTGAAGCATTAAGTGCTTATTACAATCTTTTGTTGTTATCCCAATGAAATATGAGCTCTAACTTATTATTAACATTATACAAGCTTAAAATTCTACGCTTTTTGTACTCCCTTGTATTGTGGAATCGTTGACCCAGGAATAATTTCAAGCACTTCCCATTGTGATCTTGACATTGCACACAGAGCACATTGTTTTGGGCGATTATCCGGAACCACAAATCATGTGAACCTCAATGTTTTCACCTTGTCCGCGAGATGAAACTCGTGGCCAGCAATTAATTAGGCTTAGATGGATTTATACCACAATATAACCCGAGATAACCCAGCAGCCCACATTGGCACAATGGCATCATCATCATCGCGAAATTCTCATAAAAGGCGCGCCTATGACAGCATCTCCCCTCTCCCATTCATAGTGTTGTGTAGTGCTATAAACGTTTGAGTATTTTTGGCAGCAGGTCGAAACAAGCGACCCAAACGTCTTGGACATGTGCGCAAAAATCTTTTTGAACTTTCGCATTCGCAGTGGCAAAAGCGAAACAAGTGCCAAGAGCAAACCCTGACACACATTATAATTTGTAGCAACGCCCTCTTTTTATTATATTTTTCTAAACATTTTTGTTTCCCCTCCAAAAATATATACTTGTATGTCTTTTGTGTTCACCTACACGCGCGCATAATATCTTTTTGTGTCGGCATCAATAAATTTTGCGACCGGCCAACAGATATAGTCAGATTTATTCATACTTTTGTATATTCTCATCGAGTTGGCAGATTGTCTTCAGCACGCCCACAAACAGCTGTTGACAGTCGCACAACAACAACAGAAAATAGAAGGAACAAAACGAAACGGAAATAACTTATTTACCTGTTATCCCTATTTCGGGTGCAACCTACGGGGGCGGTGGACCCATTGAGCCGCTTATCGTGTCACTTATCTGTGTCCCGAAGGGAGCCCCCTTATTCCCCATTTCCCATTGTTACTCAGAGCCGAAGCCATTATTGGTCAACCTATAATCTAAGTTCACATTTTTGTGCTACCATGAGTAATATGCAGTAATAGTAGGAGTTCGGTGTGTAGCGCCACTAAGAGTCAAAAATTATAAAAAAAAGTAAGACCCATTTTAAAGCTTAAGTCCCCAGGAGCAATGACTGAGATGCTTTTTGAAGTTAATTTTTTTAGCATAAAAGAAATGCACTCAAGCTAAACAAACAATCCAACAATTCAACTTCCAATTTCCACTTTTAAAATATAAATATTTATTAAATATGAATTGATATTTTATATTGCTTAATCGTTAGCAGCTTTTGGCTGTCGATATAATAATCATAATGTGAAATGCAATTAGGAATCCCTAATTTGTGTAATTTAATTATACCCCCACACACACACACTCAATGGGTTTTTAAGCTCTTAACGATTGTGTGTGTGCGGTGCCCCATTCGATTTGTGGTTGTGTGAATTAATTCTGTTGAGTTCCCTGTTCCCAAAAACAGCGTTCAACAATCGAGAGTAGCCCACGCGTGTGTCTTGCTGTCTAAATTGTGCTCCCCTCAGCTTCCAACGCTGGTCAAAATTTATGTTATACCATGGAATTTGTGCATTTGAATGTTATATTCATTCATTCGCTCAGCTAATCAAAGAATTCACAATCAAATATTTTGAAATATTATACATTGGGTGGATAAATCTGGATGGTGCAGGGTATGTGTTAATCGAGACATTCCTAGTTTTGATCGAATGTTTGTTTTGAACGGCAAAAACCATGCTGGCACGGAGAGCCCCCCACACGACATCAGTCTCTCGCTCTCTGTGTGTGCTCGCCCGCTCTTGGGGCTCGTCGCGAGCTCTCTCTCTCTCTCTCTCTCTCTCTCGCTCTTCCCCCACAGAGAAAGGCAGCGATCAATGTTCGAAGTACTTCTGTGGGCTTCGTGGAGCTGCGCGCCTCATTCGCTTGCGTTGGTTCGACGCGTTCACAACGTAAATTGCGTATACGAAGCGTGTGTTGCGTGCTGTGTTGCATGAATGTGTATATGCCAGAAGGTGCATGAATGAACGAACGCCTGTCGGTTGCCTGTGTGCGAGTGCCTCTATGTGAGTTCTCTTTCGATATTTACGAAAATTCGCTGACTTCCGTTTCGTTTCTCTACGCTACGCTCCGGTTTGCTCCCTCCCGTGTTTTTGTGGTGTCTCTGTGTGTGGCATAAAATCATTTCTAAATTTATAAAACAAAACGCGTATACACACACACACACAAATCAGTCTGTCTCCTTAGAGAGCTTTCCCCCGTTCGCCAACAAAACAAAAATCAAATCAAATTAATTATTTGTGCAAAATTAACAGAAAGTCGAGACATAGACAAAAAAAAGAACGAAATACACACCCATACATACACCTGTAAAAGTTCTAAATAACATACAAAAAAATATATGTGGAAATAAAATCCAACGATTTATATATCCATAAAATCCAAAACGAACATCTACACACACACACAAACCCATAAATATATGGTTTTTCTGGTGCATTTGAATTATAAATATTTTATTGCTTATGTTTAGTTTTCTTGTTTTGCTTTGTTTGCTTTCTATATCAGTTTTTTTGAACATTGTTTATTTTCCACATAAATTCTTCAGTTGAAAGTGAAAGTGCGACGCTGTCCCCCACGAGAAATGTTGCTGCCGGCGAGAGCGGACAAGTTATGCTAATTGACATGGGACTAAGAGGACAGCCAATCGACGAAATCAATGCAGAAAATCATAGCAAATGCCAGCGGATAAAACTATAATCTACTCTTTGACTAAAATTGATTTTAAATGAATAAAAACAAAACAGAGGCCAACGGATAATCACGTATACAATAATCATCATTCACTTGAACTAAGAAAAAACGCTGCACAAAAGCGAAGAGATGTCAGCAAAGAATCAGGGATAAAACTACAGTCTTCTATTTTATTTGAATCAATGCGAAAATAGGACAAATCAATGCAGAAAAGCATAAAGAAACGTTAAAGATACAATCAAATTACAAATCCATGAACAAAATCAATACAAATTGCAGCGGATAACAGCGGATAAAACAACAATCAAATCTCTTTCACAAAATACAAAAAGAAAATCCAATCCAAGATGCGCTTGCAACATCGATATAACCCCAATCCAGCCACAACAACAAAAACACAGACCCTGGGAAATAACAACAGCAACACAAGCACTAACATCAACAACAACAATAGCATCATAAACAACAACAATAACAACAACAACACCACCAACAATAAGAGAGCCAAGAAATTGAACAACAACAGCAACGGCATCATTAAATTGCGAACAGCGACAGCCACAAAAGCCGCCATGCCACCCGCCACACCACCCACCGTGCACCCACCACCACCAGTGGCACTTACAAGGCACCACCAAATGCTGATGCTGGATGAGGGCCCCAACCAGGCGACTGTGGCGAATGCTGAGCATGAGGACGAGGAGGAGGAAACCGAAACCGAGGAGACCACAACGACAACTTCGGTGGAGCTGCGATCTTCGGCCAGCTCCCACTATCGGGCCTACACCACAATTCGCAGCAATTCGACATCAGCGATATTGGCCGGAGCGGGTCTACCGCCATTTGGGGGCCACTGCTCGCAGACGACACCCGGCATGCTCTATGCTCGCCCCCGCACCCTCAATGTGCACAATGTGTGCCAGACGCCCGCGCAGATCACACAAATGTTTTTTGGGTATGTTTTTTCTTTGTTTTCTTTTGATTTCAATTATTTTTTTGGTTATGACTTTTACTAACCGACTAACAACAACCAAAGAATCGAAGTTATGCGCCTTCAAAGCTCTCCAAAAAAGTAGTAGGTCTGTAACGCTGAGAAAAGAAAGGGGCTTAAAGTTGGATCCATTGAAACAAATGTGTTCCATCGATTATGAATCAACGTCATTTGCAGCATTCATTGAATATTTCCTAGTGGGAAAAGGAGCATAAATCAGTCGTCTGCCAAGTAAACACCCAACAACTTCTCCTGAATAAGAATTGATGCTTCAAGGAGAAGAAATAACCCAATTATTCGTTTAGGTTCACTGATATTTGCATAGGAAAAACCTTCAAATTTGGAGAAGGATAAATAAAAGTTCAATTTATAGTTTTATCCATTCATCATTCCCTGTCTGCAGATCTGTTCAGATCTTTAGGCGATGGTCAAACTCTTTCAGATTAAGCAAGGTCGCCGCCAAAAAGCAATTCCAGATGTATATGTTCCAGGGGGGATTCGTGTAAATATTTATGGGAGGTTTTGATTAAATTGATGGACCGCTAAAATCCATAAGGTCTTGTTGCCATTAATCAACTTACCCTTCGAATGAAGTTTATTTACTAGAAAATTTGTTGATTTATCCGGGAATTAAAATGTTCTTTAAGTTGGTAAACCTTTATTTATAATTTATTGGTCATTATCCCATAGGTTCTATTGAACTTCAGACATTGTTCGTGATTTATCTTCTCACGATCTGCCACGCCTTCAGCCCAACATCAGGGCAGGGCCTCTCTCTTTGATCCGTTCCGTTTGGTTGCGTTGCTCTCACTTGTGTCTTGAGGGATTTTGTCATCGTTATTTTAAAATTGATATATTTATATTTATTTTGCGCGCGCACTCAAAAACAGAAACACAGAAACGACACAGAAACATATTCAATTAAATGAAATTACCATTCCCCCCGGCTTGGCGCTCTTTGGGCTCTGTGTGAAAATTCATTGAACTTGATCTTTGCATGAGGTTTTGTCGTTCTTTTTCTTTCTTTTCGATTATACACACACCCATACCAATTCACCAATTCAGTCGTCCAGTGAGACGCGTGTATTGCATTTATTTATTTGTATTCAAAAAATAATAACAAAACATTAAAATGTCAAAGCGAGAGCTGTAAACACGAACTCAAGCACATAAGCATCTCGAGGAGTATCGAGTGTTGTTGTGGGTGTAGCGGGTGTATGCGATTGCGGGGTATCGTGTACACATGCTGTACGCGCAGATTGGACATTTGTCTCAATTTGCATATAATAAAGTCATAAATAACCCAACAAATTGTCACATTTATAACATTTATTGAGCACATTGCCTCCAGGCAGTGCCAATTGTTTTGCCAAAAGGCAGCTTACGAACTATTGATACCCTGTTTGAGTAAATACAAACTAAGTAAATTAAACTGTGAAAGTCGTTAAAACAATTCTCCTGTAATAACAGCTGCTTAATAGAATAAATACAACGCTCAGTGAATTTATTTTTGCACACAACTGTTGGAACAAATCCCCAAACAGCTTATCCGGTTATCCAGTAGTCAACCAACTCACACGCAGAACGTATTTTTAGTACAGTGACTACTTTTGTTGGCTTAAAATCAGTTAATTATCCAGTTATCCGCAAAGCAATTTTATTCCAAAAGCGACTGCTGGATACCCTGAATTTGTGTATCTATTGTGGATGAGACTGTCACCAAAAAGTAAACAGATATCCAATACACCCTAGACTGCTGCGGGGCATCAAACACAAAGTTCAATTCATTCAATACGTGGCTCTCCTCTCTCTATCTACGGTTTGATGTTGATATTCGATGGCAGAAATGTTTAATTTTAGCCATGATCTATTGTCGGCTGTGACCTTCTTCCGTGACACAAACACACCATTTGTAATCCCATGGGGCACGTGTTGGCGATTTGCTAAGTATTGCCAATTGCCCTGGAAATGGGGAGGGAGACTATGCGATTACGAATGTGAGTCCCATTGTTCAGCGGCCCTCAATAAAAAACAAAACAAAACCAAAAAAAAATAAATTAAAAAAAGCGTCAACTAATTTCTGGTCATAAATCACGACGCTCTCTGGCGTTGGGTCATTAAAGACTTTATATGGACCGCAAAAAAGTTAAATTAAAAGAGTTGAATGCGTTTGGCTTTGTTTTTTTTTCGCCTTAATTTGATTGTGCTGCCGAATGGCAGGCAGCGGGCAGCATCGTCTCAGTCTTTATTCCATTGAGATGTTGATGCCATAATAAATCAAGCATTGGCCGTTGCTGAGAGTCGTCTGATGATATGTCTGGGTTTATCAAAGGCACTTCAATTCATCTAAATGCCGCATTCTTTGTCAATTATTCGACTATTTGTCTTTATTACTCGTATTTCTTCCTTCTTTTCGTCTATTGTTTTGTTAGTATGCGATGTGAAGTGCATTTATCAATTTGTATAAAAAAATATACTCGTATTAATTTGCTGCTGTTTTCCTTTTGCTTCTGGCTTCGTAATATTATGCTTTATTTTTAACTTGGTTATGGCATAGTGCATGGCATGGCATGGCATCAAAATCTAAGCAGCAATCACGGATAATTAATTGAATAAAATGCCAATTGCCATTTACTTCCATTTGTCTCAGCGCGCACAATTCTGAGAAATCACAAGCAATTTTCCTTAAGCTGTAGCTAAATCCCAAATGCAGTAAGCGGTTAATGATATTTCGTTGTATTTATAGATGTGTTTCAATGGGTTTTCCAATGTACATGGTTAACAGAGAAAACTCATCATTGTAAAAAAGGGACTTAACTAACATATGTATGGGTATTTTTCTTAGACATTTAAAAAGTGGAGAGGTGTAGATCTGTCTACAATTGCCAGAGTATTCTGCATAGATTTCGAATAAAAATTATAATCATAGATTTGAAATTATATTTATATGCGAGAATCGCGATAAATAAGTGGTAGACACCTCCTATCGTTTTGAGCACACATAAAACCTAAAAACCAACTAAATATTAAGATCTACCTACACCTTAAATTAATTTTGTATTTATTACCAAGTTTATTCGCAAGCTAAAACAACACCTATCCGAATAGATAAAACAGTCTGACAAGCTTCTTTTTATTTGCTGTCATCCATCAGCTTACCATTACAAATTTCAATCAATGTCAGGTGGCGCATCTCGTCTCAGAAAAACTTGTAGAAATCAATTAGGAAAATTAAGCGCACACCCAATTCTCACACTGTGTGGCGCATTGCATCGACAATGAGAATCGAGAATCGAGAATCGCAAATGAGTATTCGCTTTTCGTTGCGGAACTACACCAATGAATAATAATAAATAAATGTTCTGGAAAATTGCATTAATGGGCTAAGCAAATGTGCGCATTAATTATTCATTCGACATAATTGAGAAACGTGCTGTAAACAATTACTAAGTAAGTGATTGCAAAGCTCCACTCTTTGCCGTTGTAAACAGCCATCGGGATTGGATACAGTGCCAAACATAAATATCGAACAATAGAGTCGGAGTACTCCTCCACTGAGCTAATCGGCTAAAAATAAAACATATATTGAGAGCCAGAATCAGGAGTTTCTGCAGCGACAACTGCACTGCAATCAGCGACTAAGAATAGACATATACAATGTGGACGGAGAGAGGACGGACACGACCCTTTTTCTGCTTCAGACAATGGGCTATCTAAAGGCCAAACGGCAGAGCCAAGAGTGCTTGACAAATACTGACATACTACGAGTAGTTGTTTGATAGCCCCCGATAATGTCTGACGATAAGTGGTGTTATAATTGCGATTAGATGATCAATCGGATGTAGTCATCGCCCAAATGGATTTGCCATCGATTAATAACAGTAAGCCATCATCCATTGATGTCACCTCTAAAAGAGTTTAGACATGATCTAACCCAATGGCAAATTTATTTGGATCGATTTGATGTAATCTTTGGCAAATAAAAATCATGTTGTGGCGAGCTTCCCACGCTTTCGCTTTATCCGAACAGCAAATGAGATCATTGGAGCCAGAAATGAGTCTACCATTAGATGGATATTTAATCGAAGCTTTCAAAAGAGTTCTCAAGTCGTCACTCGCTTACAACTTTTGAGGCACGATCTATGTATGTGCGAATTTTGATGATGACCAAGTGCAGCACTTGGCGTTGTTTTTCATGGCCATGCCGTGCCCCCGGGGCCATAAAATATTCGATGTACAAACTAAGAAAATAAAAAGAGCGCCTAAACAATGTATTTTTGTCTGTATATTTGATTTGCACTCGTCGCTTTGTTTATGCGAAGCATGTTCTAAAAATAATAATATTCCAACCAAAAAGCTAAAAGAAAGTGTGAATTTTTGAGGGCCATAACGGAGGCTACTTCATAATTTACAAACCAAACAAAGATCGTCAGCCGGCAGCCAGAAGCAGCAGCAGAAGCAGAAGCAACAATAGCAAATAACAAATTTCGTGTGGCGAAAGAGCTAAACAATTTTTATTGCAAAATATAAGAAAAGAAAAGCCATTAAATCATGTGAGACCACAAAAAAATACATACATAAACCGTTTGTATATGCAGAGCAACCACGAAAACAATCTATAAGAATGGAATTTTATGGAATGCTTAAATATTGCGGGGGCGCGCAATCTTTGCATGTCTGTCATTTCGTCAGTTAGTCTCATGACTGATTGTCAGGAGAGGAGAATGCGCTTTGAATTGATCTACTAAGCTGATTTGCATGGAGGGAATGAAGTAAAAAAGCTCTAAGTTCTCAGTTGTGGGAGAAGCTTCCAAATGGAGCGGCGACTGACTGTCATCCAACTCTTATCCATTTATTTGCCTTATGCTAATGTCTACTCTTGTATCTTGTAAATCATGAATCGATCTACAACCTAATTTGACTTGCAAAACGACGTTTAAAACATCCAGCCTAAGATCTAAATA